CCTGCCTCCCTTTCTGCTTGCCTTACTTCTCCTGCGGGCTCCTGAAGCCTAACCTGGGTCGGCGCCGGAGGAGGGAGGAGAAACGAGGGGGGGGGGGCACGGGCAAGAGAAAGAGCAGGAGGAGCAGGAGGGGAAATGAGGGAGAGGGGGAGGTGGGGTAAGGAGGGAAAGCGAAGGAGGGGCGAGGAGGATGACGACGACAAGGCTTCTCGGATGACCCAAGGCTTCTAAGATGACACCTCGTGAGGCTGGTCGCGCTCCGATGTGCAATCCGCCGATCCATCGTGAGTTTCAAACAGCTGTAGCCTGAGTTTCAGTTCTGTGGGGGGGGGGCCCAGGTTGGCTCTGATGGGGAAAGGTGGCGGGCGGGTTTCTACCATTTCCGGGGCCGCTCGTAAGCTCTGCTGGGGGAGGTGCCAGGGTGGCTGCATCGCTGCCCCCGAAAGTCCCCCGAGGCCCGGGGATGCCGGGGGGGGTGCTCTGCCGGGGAAAAGGGAGGGGGGGAAAATTCTTCCATTTCTGGGGCCGCTCGTCAGCTCTGCTGCAAGTGGGGGGCCGGGATGGCTCTGTTGAAGAATGGGGTGCGGGGGCGGGTCTTCCATGTCAGCTCTGCCGGGAGGAGGAGCGGGGGGCTCTGCTGGGGAAAGGGGCGGGGGTCTTCCAGGCCGCTCGTCACCTGTGCATCAGGGGGGAGGGGGGCAGGAGCGGGGGGGGAGGTTCTTCCATTTCTGGCGCCGCTCGTCGGCTCTGCTTGGGGAGGTGCTGGGGTGGCTCTGCCTGGGAACGGTGGGGGTGGGGGATTCTTGAGTTTCCAGGGCCGCTCGTCAGCTCTGCTGCACGGGGGGTGCCAGGGTGGCTCTGCCGAGGAAGGGGGCGCCCGCCGATGCGGCCTATGAGCTTCAAAAAGCTACAGCCAGAGCTTCAGCTCTGCTGGGGGGTACTGTGGTGGCTCTGCAAGGAAAATGGGGGAGATTCTTCCGTCTCCGAGGCCGCTCGTCTGGTCAGCTCTGCCTGGGGGGTGGTGGGGGGGCTCTGCTGGGAGGGAAGGGGGGATCTTCGATTTCCGGGGCCGCTCGTCAGCTCTGCAGGGGGGGTGCCAGGGTGGCTCTGCCGGGGAAAGGGAAGGGAGAGATTCGACCATTTCGGAAGCCGCTCGTCAGCGCTGCTGGGACATTGACGGGGCGGTTGCATCGCTGCCCCACCCTCAAATGTCCGACCGAGGCCTGGGGAAGGAATATATACGAACAACAACAACAACAACAACAACAACAACAACAACAACAACAACAACAACAACAACAACAACAACAACAACAACAACAACAACGACGACGACGACGACGACGACGACGACGACGACGACGACGACGACGACGACAACGACGACAACAACAACAACACACACACAACGACGAGGACGACGACGACGACAACGACAACAACGACGACGACAACGACAACACAACGACAACAACAACAGCAACAACAACAGCAACAACCAAAACGCACGTGCATGCATTATACAAAAATGCATGCATACATACATTCAGACAGACAGACAACCAAACATACTGACAAGCATACACACGTACATACATAAAGCCATGCGATATACATACACACTTATGCATACATGCACACATGCAAGCATGCACATACATTAATATACGCACGCATGTAGATATGCCTACATGCCTACACGCACACAAGCACACATGCATACATGCGAACTTGAGAACATGCACACATACATAGACATAGATGTACATATATATACATATACATACACTGGCATGCATGCGGGCATACAACTATACATACATGCACACATATAAAAATGCATACGCCTATACAGATGTACGGGCATGGACACACACATAAGCGAAAAACTACACATAAATGTTCACATGCGCATGCCATACATAAATATGCGCACGCACATAATGTATACACACACGTTAATCTAAACTTCATCATATGCAGACGCATTTACATCGACTGGCATATCTCCATTTCTATATATATATATATACACTAGAACCATCGCGCGCGCTTCGCGCGCGCTTTGGTTCTAGCCGAGATCACGGCAAGGCCCCGACAGAAGTATCAAGACATTCCTGTTCTTATGTGTATATATATACATATGTCTGTCCGTCCTTCTCCTCAATTTCCTCATCCTTCGTCCTCTTCCTCCCCCCCTTCCTCGCCTGTCTCTTTCCTCCGTTTCCTCAGTTCCCTTCCTTCTCCTCCACCACCTCCTCCTCCTTCCTCATTTGCTTCTGCTCCTCCTACACGTTATTTTCCTCCTCCTCTTCCCTCTCCTCCTTTTCCTCCCCCTCCTCCTCCTCCCCCCCCTCCTCCTCCCCCCCCCCCCTCAATACCTTCTGCCCTTCCCCCTCCTCCCCACCCCCCCTGGCCCAGACGCCCCTCGATCCTGGCGCCCTCCCCGGTCCGGATACCTCTGGGAACCGTAGGCCCCGCGACCCTTGAAGTCGGCCCCAGGAGTCCTCCGAATCCTTCGGTCCCTGGACGCCCCTGACCTCTAGGGTCGAAGATCCTCAATCGCGACCCCACGACACATCGGCTTCAGAGACTCTTCGGCCCCACGACCCGCGGAGCGACGAGGAAGGACGCACGGCAGAAGCAAGGGAGAGAGAGGGAGAAGTCGAGGGGAAGCAGGAGGAGGCGGAGGAAGAAGAGGTAGAGGAACAGGAATAGGAGGAAGAGCAGCCAGAGGAGGAGGATCAGAGGAAGGAGGAGGAGGGGGAAGGGCCGCCCAGGAGGGATCAGGCGCTTGAGCAAGGGGATGGGACTTACGTTCCCGGGGGCCTCCCCGGGAACATCTTGCGCGATAGGAAGAGGAGGGGGGGCCCGAGAAAGAAGAGGGGGGAACGAGAAAGAAGATAATATCGGCGATGTGGAGAAAGGGAGGCACGCGGAATTACATTCCTGGGAAGCTTCCCGAGAACACATATCGCGACAGCAGGAGGAAGAGGAGCCCGAGAAGGAAGAGGAGGACAGGAAGGAGGAGGACGGCTAGAGCAGGAGGAGGAATCTCGAGAAGGAGGAGGAAGAGGAGAAGGAAGAGGAGGAGGAAGATGAGGGGGAGGAGCAGGAGGATGAAAAGGACGAGGAGGACAGACACGCAGGACCAGGTGAGCGGCAGGAAGAGGAGGGGGAGCAGGACGAGCAGGACATAAGGAGTAGGCGGAAGGGAAGGAGGGCAAGGAGGAGAAGAAGGGGAGCGGGAGGAAGGGAGGTTCAGGGGGAGCAGGAGGACGTAGAAGAAGGACAGGGGGAGGTGCAGGAGTAGCACGTTGAGCAGCCGCAGCAGGAGGAGGACATGGGAAGAAAAACGAAGAGGCAGGGTGGCGAAAAACAAAAGAAACACTCGAACGCAAGCAAAGAAATTATGTTCCCGGCAGGCGTTCCGGGAACATACTTCGAGAGACCGGGAGAGAGCTCCACAAGCAGGTGGGCGAGAAGGCGGAGAAGGAGAGCGTGGGGGGGGAAAGGGGAGGTGCGGGAGTAGCATGCAGAGCAGCCGCAGCAGGCGGAGGATCAGGGAATGACGATGGAGCAGGGCGGCGAATAACAAAAAAAACGCTCGAGGAATGCTGTTCCTGGCAGTTCCGGGAATATGTTTATATTTCCTGAGACCGGGAGAGAGCTGGACAACCAGAAGAAATGAGGAGCAGGAAGGTGATAAGGCGGACGGGAAGCAGGGTGAGACGCAGTTTTTCAAGCCTCTTGGGGTATGCTTCGGTGTATCTCGGGGCCTTTTTTGGCCTCTTGGGCGGCCTGGGCATGTGGGGGTCCTCTGTGAGTTTTTTTTTCGCCTCTCGGGGTCCGTGTCGGAACTCTTTTGGACCGTTTTCGGTGCCACTTGTGCCGTCTTGGGGCCCTCTTGGGCCGTCGTGGGGGCCGCTTGGAGCTCTCTGGGGCCGTCTTGGTGCGGTGTGGGAGGCGTCGTGGGCCGTCTTGGAGCGCTCTGGAGCTGGTTTTGGGCCTCCGTCCGAAGGTCAAGGTCGCCGCTGCCGCCTCGGAGGCCCTGGAACGCCGAAACCCCGTAAAAAAACGCAAGGAAAGTGAGCCCCGGAGCTGCCATCGGGGGCGCAGGCACACTCCTGGCGGCCTCCCTCGGAAGCCCTGAAACGCCGAAGGAAGTGAGCCCCGGAGCCCCCATGGGGGGCGCAGGCACACTCCTGGCGGCCTCCCTCGGAGGCCCTGGAACACCGAAACCTTGTAAAAACAAAAGGAAAGTGAGCCCCGGAGCCCCCATGGGGGGCGCAGGCACACGCCTGGCGGTCTCGCTCCTGTTCCGCCGGCAGATCTATATGTATATATATATATATACATATATATCGGACATACATACACAAATGCGCGCATAAATTAACACATCTACAGATACCTGTACATTTCAACATGCGCATACACAGGCACCTCATAATTGACATAAACAAATACCTAAAATTATACATATACATAAACACATGGACATATACGGGTACATAAACACATACAGATACGTATACACATGCAAGCACATATACCTACACACAGAAATACGTGTATACACATATATATATACACACACATATGCATCAACATAGAAACCAGAATTTACACATATGCGAATAAGATAAAGATGCCCATAGTCAGTGACATACACATAAACACTTACATATTCATATACACATGAATGTACATATACATGTACATATACATGAGCAGAGACATAGTCGCTCACTTATGGTTGGCCTTTCACAGACATGCATACCTACATGTGCACATACATGTCAGCTTACATACACACGTATGCAAATACATTCATATGTATACACAGATAAATCATATATACGCAAATATATACACATTCAGGGAATTGCACATATGCACGTAACTCGAAGCCGAGGCCTCGCCACCCCGCTTGGCGCCGCCCCCTCGAGAGGCCCAGCGTGCCCCCGCCCCCCCAGGGAAGAGGCCGAGGCCCAGGC